AAAAGATTCCAACATGACATCCCTCAAAATAACCAAAAAACACCATAAACACATCGACTACCCTTTCCCATCAAACCCAAAGACTCTACCTTTTATCAATGGAACTCTAATTCACAATCCCCAAACAATCCCTTCACACCAGATTTATGACATAGGCCATGATTTTCAGCTAAGCTGGTCATCACAAAATGGAGGCTCCTTCTCAATCCATCACAGGGCCCAACCTTCAAGATCCATATGGGCCACAGTCGCGGGCCGGGCCTTCGTCTCTGCAGCCTCAGCCGATACAGAGGTTGAGGAGAGCAGAGGATCGTTCCTCATCAAGGACAAAAACCTCCATTTCATATGCACCCACCAAACAGTTGATGATGTAAGAAGGATCATACAAGAATCTAACCAACATGATCATCAAATTCAAGGTTCACCATTTTTGCAAGAACCGGCTGTTATGATCAAAGGTAGGATTTTCAATGATAATAAGAGCTGTTATGCAAAGTATTGGGTTGTGTTTGATCATAAAAACAGCAAACAAGTCGGGTTTCGAGTGAGTTTGGGAAAACCGAATATCGAGCAAGCACAGAAGTTTTCTCCAAGAAAGTATAGTTACAGAGGTTTTGCACGAAAAGTGGGCCGTATACGGGTCGGGTGGTGTGGATATGTGAAAAGTAGAGTGTCGATAGCATTTTCGAATACCGAGCATGAGAATGCGGCAATGAAGAATGCGGTTTGTCTCGATTTTAACAGGATTTGCATAACGTATTCGAGTGAGAAAACCGAGAGGTTTTATGGTTTTGGGGAGCAGTTCTCTTACATGGACTTGAAAGGGAAAAGAGTGCCGATATTCGTTCAAGAGCAAGGAATCGGGAGGGGCGATCAACCGATCACGTTTGCTGCTAATTTGGTTAGCTATAGGTAAATAAATTTTTGTCAAGGAAAGATAAAAAGAAAAAAAAAAAGTGATTTTTTTTTTTTAGTTTCTAATAGTTGAGTTGAGTGATTCATATTTGTCAAAAAACGGCCGGTGATGAGAGTACGACTTATGCACCTTCGCCTTTTTACATGACGTCGAAAATGAGGTCTCTTTACCTTGAAGGGTACGATTATTCGGTTTTCGATCTAACAAAGGATGATTGTGTACAGATACAGGTAAAATTTTGTGGTATGATTCTAAAGAAGATATAATTCACTGCTTAACATGTGCCCATAATGTGGGCTTTCACCTAACAAACTTGATATTTTACCCCCCCAAAAAAAAAATTGCTTTTCTAATTTTAAAGCATGCTTAAAATTGCTTGCAGGTATATGGAGACATGATTGAAGGTAGAATACTATTTGGAAAATCACCTGCCGAGCTTATTGAGCATTTCACTGAAGCCATAGGTAGACCTCAACAGCTTCCTGAGTGGATAATATCAGGGGCTGTGGTTGGAATGCAAGGCGGCACGGACAAAGTACGAAGTATCTTGAATAAGCTTCAAGCCATGAATACCCCAATATCTGCATTTTGGCTGCAGGTGAAGTTATAGGAAGAATTAATTAGAAAAAATTCTAAATTTTCCATTCTCAAAATATGGCTAGAAGCTGATGTGTGAAAGTTGAGGGTAGAAATATGGGATTGATAATCCTTTAAAGGAAATAAAGCATTTGCAAACACATCCTATGTTTAAGCTCATCAAGTGTTTGGCATGCAGGATTGGGTAGGACAAAGGAAAACTGTTATCGGCTCTCAATTATGGTGGAACTGGGAAGTCGATTCGACTAGATATTCGGGATGGAAACAACTGATAAAAGATCTCAGCTCTCAGAATATAAAAGTGATGACATATTGCAACCCTTGTTTAGCTCCGGTATACTGCATTTTGATCTCAAACTAATTGTTTGTTAGGATGACTTAAAATTCTGAAATTTATTTTTTTTTTCTAAACGGTTATTTATTCATGAAAGATGGATGGGAAGACAAACATAAGAAGAAATCTGTTTGAGGAGGCTAAGAATTTGGACATCCTAGTGAAAGACCAAAAAGAAGGGGCTTACATGGTTCCCAACACGGCTTTCGATGTGGGAATGTTGGATTTAACACATCCAAAAACGGGAAATTGGTTCAAGCAAATTCTGCAAGAAATGGTGGATGATGGAGTTAAGGGTTGGATGGCTGATTTTGGTGAAGGTTTGCCTTTGGATGCATGTCTTTATTCAGGTGAGCTTCTGTAATTTCATTCAAAAAAAATAAATAAGAAAAAAAAACAGTATCTTCAGAGCATGATCTGGGAATAAACATCTTGACAAAAAAAGTTTGAGAGAATAATGAAATTGCCCCTGAATTTTTTCTAACTACAGAAAGACCCAAATATATATGACTAAACCATGCATAAGTAGAACAAATTAACAGACATTTGAAAACATTAAAGAGTCATTTGATTTTTTATTTTTTTTCAAGAGCTAATGCTTTTTTTTTTTTGAAATTTTCAGGAGAAGATCCAATCACTGCCCACAACCGATACCCTGAAATATGGGCACAAATAAACCGAGAATTTGCTGATGAGTGGAGAACTAGCAAACAACAAGAGCCCTTGGTTTTCTTCATGAGGGCTGGATTTCGAAACAGCCCCAAATGGGCAAGCTTGTTCTGGGAAGGAGACCAGATGGTGAGCTGGCAGGCTAACGATGGGATTAAGAGTTCGGTTTTGGGCTTGCTAAGCAGCAGGCTTTCGGGATATGCTTTCAACCACAGTGATATCGGAGGATATTGTTCCATGAGCTTATTACCGTTTTTCACTAAATACAAAAGGAGTGAAGAGCTTCTGATTAGGTGGATGGAGCTGAATGCATTTACGACTGTTTTTCGAACACATGAAGTGAGTTTTTTTAGATAGTAACAATAATAATAGTATAAATAGTATAAATATTAAACACAAATCTTTTAATTATGAACACACTTGTTGTTTATCAGGGAAATAAGCCACAAAGCAACACTCAATTCTATTCAAATGAAAGAACCTTATCTCATTTCTCACGGTTCGCCAAGATATACAATGCATGGAAATTCTACAGAATCCAACTAGTGAAGGTAATAACTAATGACATGATAATCTAAATGAAAAAAGAGAAGAAAAGAAAAACCCCGATAGTTTCAGCTTTAGCTCTCTATAATTCTAATAAACTTTCTATTTCGGGAATTTTTCATGTATAGGAAGCACCGGAAAAGGGTCTGCCCGTTTGTCGACACCTATTCATTCACTATCCAGATGACGAACAAGTGCAAATGCTAACCTACGAGCAGTTTCTAGTAGGCACCGAGATTCTAGTTGTGCCTGTTCTTGACAAAGATAAGGAATTTGTTAAGGTTTACTTTCCGAAAGGAGAGGTTTGTTCATGGAAGCATGCTTGGTCTGGAAAAATATATTCGGAAAAAGGTTGCGTAAATTTGGTGGCAGCTCGGATTGGATATCCGGCTGTTTTTGTCAAGGATGGATCTAAAGTTGGAGAAACATTTCTTCACAACCTTAGAGAGCAAAGTGTTCTATAAAGAAGATGATTGGGAAAAAGAATCAAGAATGGATCTTTCGAATGGACCCGGATAGTTAAAATTAAAAAAAAAAAAATGATGATTCTTGTTCATAATTCAGTCCCAAGAATTTTCTCGAATCACTTTTTGCAATCGTATAATGATGTATATAATTATAATCAGAATTCATTCGTACTTTAAATGTACTTGAACATGAAAGTTGTAAACAGGAAACTGTATATATACATTCATAATTGTTCTTTCTACTGATTTTGCAGAGGCTCACAAAAACCATACTGTCTTTAAAATTCAAGAATACAAGTATGCTAACAAGTCACTGGTTTCAAGCTCGATTTAGTCTCGGTCAGCCTCGAGCTATCTGCTAAATCGAACCAACTATCAAGGCTGCAAAATAACTAAAAGCTTTTCTAGTAAGCCATATCCACCTTGATATGAAAGGAACTTCTTTTAATGGCTATTATGATCAACATAAACTATAAAATGTGCCACACCTTCAACAATAATGAAAAAACTCTATTCTCAACAAATATAAGTATATTGCAAAAGGCGACAAAACACAACAACTCCCAAGAACCAAACACCCAACCAATTACTAAATCTTATATCACGTGGGAAATTAAAAATCAAATCTTTTGTACAAATAATGACCGATTACATTCTTCAAATTGAAAGCAAAAGAGTAAATGTTAGTAGGGAAAAGCAAATGAGAAATGAAGGGAACTTACGTTTAGTGCAGTTTGATGAAAATGGCATTAGGAGATCAAGACTCGATCTTTATTCTGGAATGGAGATTTTCAGCACGGGCTTATTATCTTCCATATAGTTATTATTCTTGTAAGGAATAGCATTATGTCTTTTATATTGGAAAATGATTCAGATACTCATGTTAGGATATTCTCTTCTCACCATGAGTAGGGTTGAGCAAAATCGAGCCATAACCAAAAAAATCGAGCAGTTAGATTTAGTTTCTGGAGAGTTTGGTTTGTTGTGTAAAAAAACGCAAAAAAATCATGCAGTTCGATTTTGTGTTTGAATTTGACTCGACCCCCGTGACAAATATGTAAATTAGAGCGTGTTAGGTTCAAGAAATAAAAATTTTCTTTTATGTAATTTTATAATTTTTATGTACTATTAGTTTATTACCTTTACATAATTTATTAATTTGATAAACGAACTAAGCTTGAGCTCGTTTTTGGCTCAATTAGTGGGCTCAGCTCAATAAAGGCTCGAGCTAGAGTTTTAGAAGCTCGAGTACGATTTGACTAGTTTACAATTTTAGATTTCTCCTTTTTCCCCTTTTATCCCCAAATTTTCAATTATTCTACTTCTAGTCCTTTTCAAAATGTGTTCAATGCGTATTGGCTAGGGGTGTGCAAATTTTGACTGAAATCGACCGAACCGACCGAAACCGACCGAACCGACCAATTCGGTTCGGTTTTTGTTCGACTCGGTCGGTCGTCAGTTTTCGTTTTGTAAATTTTCGGTTTGTTCGGTCGGTTTCGGTTTTAGACATAAAATATCCGAAAAAACCGAACCGATCGAATATATATATATATCATATTATATATTATATATTATAATATAATAATTTAATACAAATGATTGAATGAATAACCCTAACCTAATACATCATCTCATTTCGCCGCTATCTAATCTATCGTCCAAAATCCAAATCCTCCCGCACGGCCGCACCTTCCCTCAAATCCTCCCCGCCGTCCCCAGATCTTCCGAGTTCCGACCCTACACGGCTACACCCCTAGCCGCTACTCCTCCGTTGCTCACCAGTCGTCCGTCGCTCGGTGCTCCTCCGTCGGTCGATGCTCCTCCGTCCAGTCAAGGAGCTCGTCATCACCGGTTGTCGACTCGCACCAGTCGTCCGTCTCTCGCTGCTCCTCCGTCGCGCTCCTCCGTCCTCGCTGCACCTCCGTCGTCGCTGCTCCTCCGTCCTCATTGATCCTCCATCGTCGCTGCTCCTCCGTCCGGTCAAGGAGCTCGTGGTCACCGACTCACCGGTCGTCCAGGCACACCGACTCAGCCTGTAACTGTAAGTATTTTTTTTGTTTTATTTTTTTGTAACTGTAACACATGCTCTTTGTATTCTTGATGTGTAGAGGTGATGTGAATTTTGTTAACTTTCAACTTAAATTGGACACTTTTCTTGGCATCACACGGAGAAGCTGAGTTGGATTTGGAAGAAACAAGAAGTGCGCTGTAATAAGATTGGACACTTTTCTTGGCATTTTGTTGAATTAATCTCAAACCATAATTCCACCTGCAAACGCCCAATTGATCTTTCAGTTCCTCAACTGCTCCAATGCTTGTGGCTACTATCCAACCATTTCTAGCTGCTCTACTCATTCTTTTTTCTTTATTTATTTAATTTGTATTTGTGTGTGAAATTGTGTTATTGTGTGTGTGTGTATGAAATTGTGTTATTGTGTGTGTTATTGTCTGATGAGTGTCATATGAAATTGTGTTATTGTTATTGGCTTATTGTGTGTATGAAATTGTGTTATTGTGTTATTGTGTTATTGTTATGGGTGCTTTGTTTTACTTTTTGGACTTGTTTTGGAGACTTGGGATGTTGTTTTTATCATTTTCTGGACTTTGCTGTGGTTTTTTTTTATTTTTCTGGACTTCTATGAATGCTTTTGGGACTTGGATTTGTTGGATTTGGAATTGAAAAGTTTAACTTGGATGTGTTTTTAGGTTGTATATTAATGAAAAGGCCCATATGTTTGGGCTTAGTAAACAATCCACAAAAAATTTTATTTTTGTAAAATAATCGGTTAACCGACCGAACCGACCGACTAATTCGGTTCGGTTGTGTTTCGGTTTTAAGCAATGTTTCGGTCGGTTCGGTTTTAGTCATATTGTTGTTCGGTTAATTCGGTTTTTGTATTTCGGTTCGGTTCGGTCGACCGAACCGACCGATGAACACCCCTAGTATTGGCCACCCTAATTCTACAGAAAGTATAAAGGGTCTTGAGCTCAGAAGATAAAGCCCAAGTCTGAGCCCATTATCGTAAGCATCCTCGGGCTCGAGCACCTAAAAATCTTCTTCACTCTTCGGTTAAGGCCTGAAATTGAAACGAAGAGCTTTGGCAAAGACAGGTTCATACTCAAATCCTACCGCTAACTTTGTGTTCTTTTCGTATGTGGATTTTTGGAAATGAATTTACTTTCTTTTTTTTTCAGCTAAAATTGGATTTTGATTCAGGTTCTTACGTCGTACACTGATTTATATACATTTTTGTAGTTTCCAGCTGCTAATTTTTCTCGCGATTAGAACCGAATCTCATGTTTTTGGGGTTATGTACTGATGTCATTTTATCAAATTTGTGAGTGTGTGGAGGTGGAAATTGCGTGTTGTTAAGNATATATATATATATATATATATGATTGTTAGTAAAAGAAATAAGAATGAATCTATACCATTGGATCCATCAAGGTTAAAATTTTTTTATTAAATTTTAAAATTAATGAAAAAAATTATTTTAAATTTCATTTATCTTTTTACAAAAAATATATATTATTATATATTTTAGAATGACATTTGTTACTTATGTGACTTAAATGTATTATATTATAGTAATTTTTACGACTTATATCGTATAACTACTTGAAATATAAATATATTAATTGATAAATAATATTATTTTTCTATTTAATATTAAAAAAAATTATTATTGTTATAAAGATATATAATTTATTTTTTTATACATACAATATGAATGTTAAATCGAAGTTCGTCAAGAGATGATTAATTTGATATATTATATATGTCAAACTGATAAAAAATACAAAAGTTATTAATTTTTAAAATATATTTACAATTCAATGGTTATAATAAGAAATGATATTAAGATGTAATTAATATACATAACATGACCAAAAATAATCAACGTATTTATGGATAGTCTGAACCTAATTATTTTTGGATTGGAAATAAATTAAAATTTACCCAAGCCTAATAACGAAGCATGTAATTTTGCCACATAGGATCCCGAAACATGCGAGAACTGCCACTTAGGCTCAGCATGTTCTGAATTAATATATAGGGGGGATAATTAATGGCAATATAGTAATTATGTGAATTATTGTGGTCAAATATATACATTTGACCAATAATTAAGGGTAAGTTGGTAATTACACCTATACCACATGGACCCACACTTTATGTTTCATTCACACCCTAACACCGTCACACACACACACACACACACACACATTCCAACGGACCCGATGGAAATCAACCCCAAACCATCGGTCCCTGCCGCCGCTGCCGCCACCGGACCGCCGCTGCCATCACGTCGAGCCCCTAGCAGCGCCATCCCTCTCTCCTTCTACCGGACGCACCGGAATCAACCCAACCCAAACCACCGGTCACCGCCATTAGCTCAAACTCTCCCGTCGATGCTGCCACCAAACTACCGCCGTCGCTGCTACCTCCCCGTCGAGTGCCATCACCCATACCACCACCGCCGCCACCGTCACCTGCCCTTTTCTCAACCTCTCTCAGCCCGCCTGTCGAGCGCCACGATTGTACTGACGACGATTAGTTGCAAATGAAGACGAGTCGGGAATAGTAGAGGGACACGTCCTGAACGGGATGACCATGCCGACGATCTGAACGGGAACGGGTAAGCGGCGAGCCAGATCTGTTTTTTGGGGCTGGCGAATTGAATCGTGATTTGGGGTGCAATTTGAATTGAAATCGGTGATTATTCGTTTTAGGTGAAATTGTTTTGTCTGATTTGGGTCAATTGGGTGTGCATTGTTGGGTGATTTGGCCGAAAAATTGATTGTTGGATGATTTTGGTGTGAATGATTTAAGGGTTAGTTTATTAAAATTAGGTTAATGTTAGGGATTATTTTGTATTTTTTTAAAAAAATTAATCATGACATAAATATATTAGTGGATAAATATTTATACTAAATTATTAATAATTTTATGAATATAAAAATATTGTGGACGGCTTTGATAGTAAATGTGTATACTTAATCAAACCGATGGTATTTTTATCGCAAACCAAATTAAAATCGAACACAAATGGTCGTTTTACTCGGCCAGTTATTCAATTTAACCAAAATAGCTTAATTAATTATTATATTTATTTATAATATTGTAGTCAGCATTTTAAAATTTAAAAGTAAAAATAGATAATTGTTCGTAATATAAAATTTTGATGTAGTCTGGTCGATTTTGGTCGCTATGCTTTAAAAAATATAAAAAATATTTTTTAATATAGCTTATTTTTTATTTCGGTTATTTAAATAAAAATATGTCATCGTTCAAAAATACCCGACATATAAAATAATAATAATAATAATTAAACCAAAATATGAAATTTCGTACCTAATTTCTGCTTGTTGTATCCCGTTTGATTTTGTACAATCCGGTAGACATTTATGTGCAATCCGTATAACTCTAATGTCCACTCACAATACATGAAAAATAATTGTGAAAATATTAGTTTCATAAAAAGAAATATATAAAAATAAAAAAATATCGGTAATATTTTTCATATATCTCGGCATGTTTGTTTATGTATAAAAAAAAACTAAATCCGACATTTAACCAACTAATATTATTCGATCAATTCGCATAATTTATTGATTAGCATAATTACTGTAATTTCGGTACTGCAACGTGTTGTTTTTTTAAGATGCAACATGTTGTGTTATAAGGTGCGACGTATTGTTGTGTAAAGTGCAACTTATTGAAATATAAAGTGCATTACGGAAATTTTGGTACGTTAGCATGCTTTTTTTTGTGTAAGTGTGTGGATAGATGATGTAATAGATATTAAAGTAGAAAAATGATATATAGCCAACCTAGTGTACAATTAGGTTGACAACACAAGTGGAAATATTCATTTGTCTAATTTTTTTTTTTTGTAGATGTTTTTTACTTATATTGTCAACCTAGTTGTACACTACGTTGCCATTGTAGCATTTCTCATTAAAGTATTATGTAAATTCATTTTTTAAATTTATATTGCCTAATATTTTGGCAGGAGATGTTGACATTAATTGTGTAGTGTGGCAATAAAGTGCAAGTTGTTGATATAAAGTGCACTACTTTATATAATCACAAATAAAATAATTATTTTTTAAAACTAAATTTAGTAGATATAATTGTAGATCGAATCAAGCCAAATAATTGAAATAATTTATTACTACAAAGATATATTTATTATTTTAATACTTTTTATATATAAATAAATAGTGCAATGTGACAGTCACTAATGTGCAATACATCTAATACAAGTGTATTCTTAAAGTGCAGATATTTTTTAATGATTCGTCCCACACCAAACTAAAACAAAACGAAGTAATCGATTTATAATACAAAAATATATTTAATATTTTAGTTAATAAACTAAAATTTTAAAAGTAACAACAAATAATCGAACCAAATATAAAATTCGAATACACGAAGTTGGCTAGGTCGAATTTTTGGTCACTATAGTGCAATTTACTAGTCACTAATGTGCAATTGATCTAGTACTAATGTGCACTCGCTATTTTTTTAGTTGATTTTTCCCAAATTAAACTAAAATCCAAATATTTGGTTTACTTGATCGGTTACCTAAGTTAACCTAAATAATCTAAATAGTTTATAATTTATATTACAAAAATATATTTAGTATTTTAATATTTTTATATAATATTTTATATTATTTCTTGATTATAAAGACCTAAAATGTATATATATATATATATATATATAAATATTTATAACAAAGTAATATTTTTTATGTAGCTCGATCGGCTTGGCTATATTAAACAATAAAGTAAACAACACACCGAGATAATCAAAATCTTAAAAGTAAAAAAAATAATCGAACCAAAATATAAAATTCAAACCCAAAACTTTGTGTCCGCTTCGTCTGCTATAGTGCAATATGATAATCACTAATGTGCAATTCGTCTATCATTAATGTGCACTCGAAGCGCGTCAATATATTTAGTGTTTTAATACTTTTATTTAATAAATTATATTATTTTTTGGTTGAAAAAATATGATATATACATATGTATAAAAGTATAAAAAATATATATATGAAATGATATTTTTTATATATTTTATATAAATTGCAAATTTTACCCATGGGCTAAATTGAACTATATCAAAACTATTGAAATTTTAGTTAAATTATAGGTTTGCCCCCAAGTACTAAATTGTGAGTTATATAAAATTATTATCAAAATCTAAATTATATCCCCAAAAAGATCTAATACTGCTCGTCTCCTTCCCAAAACTTTCGCCAGCCACCGAGCATCCGCCGACCTTCTCAGCCACGCGAAGATCTCACGGTCGGCCACATCATCAAGAGTTTACTTTAGATTTTTGTGTTCATCAGTTTTATGTTTGGTTTTGTATTTATCGAATTTAGCCGGTAAATTGCTGTACTTGCCGGAATTATCCGAGCTCATCGGCGTCGGTGAGTTTCTTCGTGGGCGGCCGAATTTCGGCCTCCAAACGCTCGAGGTCGGATGTGCACGGCGGTGATTTGAATTGCAGCCGGAATTTCTGTTTTTCTTTTTGCGGGTCTGTCGGAGGTAGAGGGCGGAGGGCGCGTTGATTGGAGCAGTAATTAGATTGTTGGAGGAGGCGTACGGAGGTGCAGCGGCCGCGCTTCCGACGGCAGATGGCGAGAACCTGCGGTTCCGACAGCGGAGAGGGAGAACCGGCGGTACGTGTGTTCTATTGTGTGTGTCGTGAAGTGTGTGTGCGTGTCAATGTTGAGGAAGGCGATGGCAGGCTAAAAGCGGCGGCGCCGGCGGTGGCTGGTGGCAGGGAACCGGAGAGGGTGTGTGTGTGCGAGGCGAAAGTGTGTGTACTGTGTGTTACTGTGTGTGTGAGTTGTGTTTGTGTGTAGAAGACAATGTTGAATGAGATATGGGGCCCACTTGATACATGTCAATGATAAATTGTCTATTATACCTTTAATGAGTGTAAAAATTTGAATTTATTACGATCATTGGATGATCAAATTTTGCAGTCCAGATTTATTCTTATTTCTTTTATTGAGAACTATTCTCACGGGAGCGCGACCTATATATATATAGAAGGGATCTATGAGAAAGAAAGATAATGAAAGAAATAAGAATAATTATACACCATTAGATTCATCAAATTAATGGCCATGATGATGTCAAACTTGGTTAATCATTAATGACAATTTAATAATTATTTGAATTATTTTGATTAAATATGTATATTTGACCAATAATTAGAAGTAAGTTACATTATACATATACCACATGGACCCACAGTTTATTTATATTCACCTATCACATATACCACACAATTTCACACACACACATACTTCAGCGGGCACGGCGGAAAATCAGCCCCAAATCACCGGTTACCGCCGACGCCGCCGCCGTACCGCCGCCGCTACCATCACGGCGAGCGCCGTCGGCCATCCCCATCAGCGCCCTCCACCTCCCCTCCTCCCGGACACAGCCGGGGTCAACCTACCACAAACCACCGGCCACTGCCATTAGCCAAATCTCTCCCGTCGCTGCCCGAAGTCGCCGTCGCCGCCGCTACCATCCCGTCGATCGCCGCCAGCCATCCCAGCACCGCCACCACCGTCACCTGCCCCTGTCTCAACCTCGCTCAGCCTGCCAGTCGAACGTCCCGACTCCCGATTTGACGGCGTGGGAGACGATAGATCCGGGTGTTGCAGACGTTAGTAGAGGGACGGCGATCTTGACTGGACGAGCTCGCCGGCGACGTGAATGGGAGATGTGTGGCGGCGGCCGGAAATACTTTTGGGCTGATGAATTTTGAATCGTGATTTATGTGAATTTACGGCGGCCGGGATTTTGATATTGGGTGAATTTTGATTTAATTGCTGATTTTTGTGAATGAATTGGGTGAAGAGTGATTTGGGTGAATGAATTGGGCGGCCGGAATTTTGTTAATTGCGTGAATTTTTTGCTGATTTATGTAAAAGAATTGGGTGAAAAGTGATTTGGCTGGGAGAATGAATTGGGTGAAATGGTGATTTGGCTGGGAAGGTGAACAATAATTTTGGGGTGATTTGGGTGTGTACTGATTTAAGGGTTAGTTTATGGAAATTAGGTTAATGTTAGGGATTATTTTGTAATTTTTTTAAATTTTAATTATAACATAAATTAAGAGTGAGATAAATATTTGTACTAAATAAGTAATTTAATAAATTTAAAAATAGTGATAAATAATTTTTAAAATCTAAAGCCGACATTGAACACAAATAACCGAACTTTTATAATTTGAAAATTATATTTGAACTAACATATGAGTTTCGAATCGAAAATATGATTTCGGTCAGTTTCGAATTTTAATGTGCAACCTGTGGGACATTAATGTGCTATTTGCATAACAATAATGTGCACGGATTTGATCGTAAATGTGTACGGTTGTGAGACATTTGAATCGATGGTATTTTTCTATCACAATCCAAAATAAAATCGAACATAAATGATCAATTTATTCGGTCAATTATTCGATTTAATCAAAATAGCTGAATTAACTCATTATTTATATTTATAATAGTATAGTCGATTTATTTTTTAAATTAAAAGTAAAAATAGATAATTATTATAATATAAAGTTTCCAATCGAAAAATTTAGTCTTGTTAATCGTGGTCCCTATTGTACAAAATATATTTTTTTTTAATATAGTTCGATTTTTATTTCGGGTATTTAAAAAACATGTCATTGTACCGAAATACCCGATATATATAATAATAAGACTAAATTAAATACCCGAATATATGTACCATAATATAAGAATTCGTATCGAATTTATGTTCGTTGGATGTTGTTGGATTTCATGCAATCTGATAATCATTTATGTGCAATCCGTATAACCATGATGTAAATTCGTAATACATAAAAAATATAAATAAAAATTACTACTATTTATAATAAAAAAATATAGAAAAAGGATAATATGTATTCAATATAGTTCGACATATTCGACTATTTTGTTTATTTTTAAAAAAAAAAAAAACTAAATCCATCATTAACCAACTAATATTATTTGATCGATAGTTAGAATTACTGTAATTTGGTATGCAACATGTTGTGTTATAAGGTGCATCGTATTGCTGTATAAAGTGCAATGTATTGATATATAAAGTGTAATACTTAAATTATGGTACGTTAATATGATTGTGCGATTTTTGTAGATATAAAGTATCATGTCGTTCCCTTTTTTTTATATTTATATTGCGTAATATTTTGGCGGGAGATATTGACATTAATTGGTGAGTCTAATAATGAAGTGCAACATATTGTTTTATAAAGTGCGACTCGTTGTTATATAGAGTGCAATATTTTGGTGTATAAAGTGCACTAATTTATACTTTCCTAGTTGTATTCGAAATCTAAAAGGTGCAATCCAACAGACAATAATGTGCAATTATCTAACATTATGGTACAATACACTGATCGAGTATTTTTAATGTGTTTCAAATTTATAAACTTTAATAATGTGTATTTCAATTATCATTATTTTAGCATTTATCAATTTTTTAATATTTATGATTTGCTAATAAATAAATAATATATATAACTAAAATTTAAAAGTAAGAAAGAGATTCTCACCGAAATAAAAATTCGCACAAAAAAAAAAAAAAAATAGTTCCTACGGTTTCGATTGCTGTCGTGCAATCTAATGGGAATTAAAGTGCAATTTATTTAACAATATTGTGCATTGGTATCGCGATGTTTTCATTGTGCATGTACACAGTAAATTGTGCGTTTTACTTATTACTAATACGTGTTTATTAAAATTTCTATAAATTACATATTTGATCAATTAACTAAATTGAAAATATATTGATAGTAAATATATTAATATTTTATAATGTGTATTTCTACATTCTATGTGCATTTCATTTAATATTTAATATATTTTTTCATAAAATATTTAACATGATTGGTATTTCTATTGTGCATTTCTATATGCATTTTATGTAACATTATCATTTATTCATTCATCTTTTGATAAATTGCAAATTTAACCCCAGGACTTAAAGTATAATATATAAAAACTTATAAAATTAAAGAGGGGTCCCTATTGTTTATCTAATTTTCACAATAAAACCCCCCTTATGAGCACTGTTACGGCTTAAACGGCCTCGACATCGAGTGGCGCCCCTCCCCCACCTGCTACTGCCAGAGCCCCGTCGTCACTCTCCAGAACTGCGTCGGTCGCCTCTGCCTCGTCTACCGCCCGCTCCGGCGGCCGCGTCCCCCAATCGCTGGAGGAATTCCTCACCGGCGGTGACTACGCTTTCGTCGGCGTCGGGGTGCAGCAGGACTTCGACCGGATCGACGCTGACTACGGTATCGAGGGGCGGCAACCACAGTGCGATGGGGCGACTGGGCGGCGTTAACGGGTGGCTGAGAGCGGCGGCGACTGGTGCGAGTGGATGTCTACCGTGAGCGGCGCCGGAGATGGTCGCTGAGACGCTGGATATGGTCGCTGAGTCGCCGGAGATGCTCTCTGAGCCGCCGATCGGAGTGTGTGCGTCGAGTGTTGTGTGCGTGTGTTCAGTCTGTGTGTGTGTGGTGGAGGAAGAGAGTCGCGGTGTGGCGCTGGGGGCGGCGGCATAGAGGGTGGTTGTCGGCGAGGAGGTCACGGCTACTGTGTGTATGTGTGTGTGGCGGTGGTTTGTGCGTGTGTGTAATTGTGAGAGAGGAATATTGACGGGGGAGAGAGAGTGGTGTAAGAGAGAGGAGAGAGGTGGTTGGGGTGGGTGGTTAATGGTGGTAGGTGGCAGGTTTATTTAATGTAGGCTGGGACCCATTTGTTTGAAGGTAGTGTAGAAAATTATTCTAATGCCCTTAATGAAGGTATATTTTTGACTTTTTATATGCTGTTGGATCATGCGATCCAACGGCTATAATGTATTCTTATTTCTTTCATTAACCACCATTCTCATGTGAACCCAACCCTATATATATATATATATATATATATGTATATTCGATAAATGTATATTATGTATTTAAACAAACAATATATGTATATATATTTAAAAATTAAATAAAAATATTAAAAAACTAAATATAATTTAGTGAGTATCAGAATGCACAACAAAGTTATACCAAATCCACATTAGTGCATTTAATAATGCACATTAACATAATAGAGTGCAATTTTTCACATATATAAAATTTTTGTTCATTTCGGTCTTGTTTCGACTTTATTTACCAAAAAATAAAAAAATAAATTAAAAATCACACATAACAAAACTGATTGACTATGTAAAAAACTATTATTTTTGTACTTTATATGTATAAAATTTATTTTGGCTATATAAATAAATAAAAAATAATATATACTAAATATATTTTTTATTATATACATAATTTAATGAATACACAAACAATGTGAATTAAAATATGCATTATTGAAGTTTTATAAAATTAAAATGCAAATAAAAAATATCCGTACAGTAGAGTGCACAATAATGATATATTAAAGACACATTTTTACTTGTGTGTATGCACTTTATCGATTTTGGTACTACATATATTAATTTTTTCAACTAAAAATAATATAAAAATAAATAAAAAATATTAAAATACTAAATATATGTTTAATATAAGTATAAATTATTTTGATTTTACATAGTAAGTTTAAGTGAATCATCCGAAAAAAGGAACTAATATAAGACAAAAATTCGTTTAGTTGACTGCAAAATAGCAGCGTCCCAATGCACAATAGTATTCAACCAATTGCACAATAAATGTCGTAATTTTAAAATCCAAACACTAAGACCCTAAATCATAATATTGTGCATTTTATGTAATGTTAATGTGCATTTATTGAACTTCTTGTGAATTACATAATTACCTCATTTATTAAAGTGCAATGTATAAAAAATGCTAAAATTACAACAAGGTCCCTAAATCATGTCTAGTTTTCAATCCTAAGTCCCTGCACCCAAAAAAATGATAAAANCTCAGGCCGTCCCCGTCACTGCACACACACACACATAAAATACACACATGCCATCCGCCTACTGCCCTCCGCCCGCTGCCCTCCGCCAACCGCCGCACCGCCGGAAAAATAGAAGCTCATATAATAACAAAACCGGCAGCACCTTCACACCGGCGGGTACCATTTCCACAACCGCAAGATCCGCATCTCCACACCATACTCCGCCGCCGACTGCGACGGGATCGAGCTCCGACCAACTTCTTGTCGACGACGCGTCATCATCATCGGCGTTTAGTTACGTGGTTTAAGATCCGACCGGCTTCTCGTCGATGACGTGTCATCGTCGCCGGCGGCCGCAGCGACTCCAGTTACATGACTCGAGCTCCAACTGGCTTCTCGTCGACGACGCTCCATCATCGACGAAGGAGCTTTGATGGTCGGGCGACGGCGCTGTTATGGCCTGGCGGTGGGGCTGTTGAGGGTAGGCGCGGTGGCGCTGTATGGTCGAGCGGCGGAGCTGTTGTAGCCAGATGGTGGAAGCGGTGGTTTAGCCGGGCGGCGACAGCGGCAGCGGGGGTTTGGCCGCGCGGCGGCGCCTGTTGAGATGTTGTGTGTGTGTGTGTGTTACGCGTGTGTGTGAAGAGTGTGTGTAGGTGTGTGTTTACATGAGAGAGAGAGAGAGAGAGAGGGGTTAAGTCAATGGAGATAGTGGTGGGCCCCTTAATGGGTGGGTATACAAAACTACACAAGTGTACTTAGATGTTCAAATGTGACCAAGAGATATCAAGTTATTTACATATTTGCCATTAATGATTGACCATGTTTGACTTGATCATGGTCATTGATGCGCTCGATTCGATGGTGTAGATTCATTCTTATTTCTTTCATTGTGATTCATTCTCATTTGAGCGCACTTCTATATATATATATATATATGGTTGAGTTACAGTGAGAAAGAGTCTTAGTGAAAGAAATAAGAATATATCATGGTCTTTGGATCAGATGATCTAATGGTAACAAAAAATCCAGTATTTATTTAATCATTAAGGATATTTTAGACATTTTGATTATAAATATGTGGCACAATGCCAACTAACACTCACCACACCAATGATTTAATGCCATGTGTCCATTACACATCACACAACACCCACCCACCCACTCAGCCTCTCTCACGCACTTACATACACAAACATGTATTAATCAAACGCACGTACCCCACCCACCCTCTCACCTTCTTACACACACTGACACACACATAAATAATTCAAAACACACACAGCACACACACCAAAACATGCACATACCTACTCGACACACACACACACACACCACACACATAAACATACAGTGTCGGTGGAAAGACATACGCACATCACTGTCGGCATCACACACACGCAGCCCAACCTCCCCGCCTCAGTCGTCGTCACCGCCGCCGCCGCGCCTTAGTTGCCGTCGAACACTCCATGAAACTCTCATCCGACGTTTTCATCCGTTTCGCCGCCGGCGTCCTAATCCGTACGCCATCATCTTCTTCACACGGAGTCCTCACACCGCCGTCTGCAACCAGAAAAAAAAAAAGTCAACCGTCACCGCCGTCGGAGCCACTGAAACACCGCCGCCGGAGCCCGTCGAATTCGACGTAGAAGTCGACATCTAAAAAGTCGATGTTTGTCGACAAAACGTGTGCAGACTAAGGCCGATGCTCGTCGCTCGTGAAACTTTCGGCCGCCGCTGCAAACTCCCCGTGAGTCAGGTGGCCGGCGATGGTTCATAGGCTTCATCGCCGGCGAGATGATAAGTTGGGACGGTGCAGCAGGGCAGAGGCCTGCCGCCGTCAGCTGAACGGTCGAGGAGCTGGTTTTAGGGTTGAGGACTAGTGATTGTGAATTTGATATGTTACAAGAGTTGGTTTGCAATTTAAAGATTTTTAGTTATTTAGAAATAAACCATTGGGGTCAATGTGTGAATTCATAAAGATTTAACTTTATTCCAATTTAGTCCATGGGCCAAATCTGTAATTTATAGAAAATATATCAAAACACATTATTTTGTATATATATTTTTTAAACATATATATCATGTCTTATAAATAAAAAAGAATATAAATTATTATATAAAAATATTAAAATATATTTTAATATATAAATGTGTAATAAATTTACAAATTCAAATTAGGGATTTAAGGTTTCATTTTTTTTTCTTTTTTCCAATTAGATAGTGTTGAGAGACAATCTTGCAATTTTATTAATTTTGAGTATTTTCTAACTTAGTTCATGACCAAATATTTAAGTTATACCAATATTCTCAAAAATGCATATTAACGTTAAAGAAAGTGTACAATTTTTAAAATTTTTAATATATAAAAAATATTACAATAATAAATATAATTTTGTAATAATAAATAATAAATTATTTAAGATATTAAGGTTTTTTTTTTTCCCGAAACAGCAGAGGTAAGATATTAAGGTTAAAAACACATAATTTATATGTGGTCATATAAAAGTATTGCATTTATATAACAGCACGCTGCACATTATAAAACAAGACATTGCACTTTATAAAACAACACGATGTAATTTATCACACACTACACAAAAATTGTCAACAACTCCCGTCAAAATATTACGCAAGATAGATTTAAAAAAACAGATCTACATAATAATTTAAGATCCACTACATAATCTATACACAAAAAACACAAACATGTTAACATACCAAACTTCCAGTATTGCACTTTATATATCATCACGGTGCACTTTATACAACAACACGTTGCACTTTATAAACTGACATGTTGCACTTTCTCCACACGAACAACAAAGTATGCTAACATACAAAAATTAACAGTAATTCACTTTACACATGAATACATTGCACTTTATATAACAAACGTTGCACTTTATAAACTAAATGTTGCACCTTATCACGATTATCAGATTACAAATTAGACAATTTACACATCAATACATTGCACTTATATAACAAATGTTGCACTTTATAAACTAACATGTTTCACTTATTCACGATTATCAGATTGCAAAATAGAAATCAAAACCGGCAAAACTCTTTTTTTATTCAACCAAAAATAATATTTAATAAAGAAATTTATTAACATAACAAATATAGTTTAATATAAATAACAAGTTATTTCAATTATTTGTTAATTCGGCTAACCGAACCGAATAAACTAATTAACTATGTTCATTTTCAATTTGACTTTGGACAAGAGTTTGGTTGGTTCAATATGCACAATACAGACCGACACCGTGCACCATAGTGTTGGACGAATTGCACCGTAATATTTATTAGATTGCATAGTATATTTCGTTTACATATATACTAATTTTATTAATCAAACCATAATATAAAAATCAATTAACAAAATATTAAATACTAATAATAAATTTTATGAAAAATTAAATTAAATAACCATACATTTATTGTTAACATTATTTATCAATATTCCATATTTATTAGTTTTTTAGTAATTTATATAATTAATCACTAATTGTATTGCTTTATAATTAAAGATTTTTAAAATTACAAATTAGTCCCTATATTTAATCTAATTGTCAAAAGAAAATCCCAAACTCACACACCACTTTCCCATAAACACTTATTTTTTTTTTTTGGTTTTTTCAAAATCTGAAAANTTGTTTTTCCGACCATCTCGGACAGTCACCACACCGCCGGCCTCGACTCACACACAACACGCAGCCGTCTCCGGACCGTCGTCGCGTCGGGTCGCCACTGTCCGCCTCCTCGTAGCCGGCACAACTTCTCGTCTCCGTCCGCCGCTTCGTAACTGTAATCCAGCTCGACGCCTAGCCTCCATCCACAAACACATATCTTAGTCTCCGTCAGCTGCCGCCTCGCATCGCCGCCGTCCGTCGCGTCGCATCGTCACAGTCTGCCGCCGCGTTGCTTCAACCCCGTCTGTCGTTCACCTCCGACGGTTATGGTCGGACTTCTGAACACGGTGGGCGTCAGCGGCTGAGATGGGCTGGGCTCGATGGACGTTCTGCTGTGGACAGCGGACTTCTGGAGAGAAGGTAAGTCTGAGGCGGCTGGGCGACGACGGCCGGCGAAGATGGTGGCTGAGTATGTGTGTGTGTGTGTGTGTGTGTGTGTGTGTGTGAAATGTGTGTGTTTGTGAATAAAACCAGATCTTGTGTGTTTATTTGTGTGTGTGAGAGATGGGGGAGGGGAGAGGTTAGTGGTGGAACCGACTATTAATGGTTGTTATTTAATGAGTGTATAATGACTAGTTTACCCTTAATGAGTGGTAAAAATCATATATTTGACCACAATTTATATACTTATTTATCGTACTGCCATTCATATATAACCATTATTTATTAAATTTTGACTTAATCATGACCATTGGTTTAGTGGATCCAATGGTCCAGAATTACTCTTATTTCTTTCACTATCTACCATTCTCATATGATCCTAACTACATATATATATGTATATATTTGAACCACTCCCTATATATATATATATATATATATATATATATATAGGGAGTGGTTCAAATAAAAACCTTTTCTGGTGTGAGAACCGTGAGAACCATATTTGATGCTATTTTTAATTGTGTATGATGCTATTTTTAATCTTACATGGTGCTATCATTTTTACAAATGCTAAGTTGCTATTTTTAATAAAATACATCCTGATTAAAAATAGCACTAAATACAATCAATCATAGCACTACATACAATTAAAAATAGCGGTTCTCACGGTTCTCACGCTAGGACTTGGTTCTCATTTGAACCACATCCTATATATATATATATATATATATAGGGTCACACTCCGGTGAAAATGGTTCTCAATGAGAGAATAAGAATATATTTTAACCATTAGATTGAATGATTCAGCGGATGAAAAAACCCAGCATATCCATTAAGAACAATAAAGTAATTTCTTCACACATTAAAATAAACTCCATTCAAACAACCCACACGTGAGTGGGTCCCACTCCACTAACAAATCCCACTCAATCTGTCAATCGTCTCTATCTGTCTCACCTCAACTCTCTCTTTCTCTCTGTTTTCTCTATCACACACACAACACACACTTAGCACACACATTCATCCCACACGCAGCACACACAAACACACAGACTCAGCACACACAAAACTCACACACGCAACACGCAGATTTCTTCTGATAATGTGTAGGATTCTGCCGAAGGGGCGGGATTGGTGGCGGTGGCGGGGGCTGGTGGCGGCAGTGGCGGGTTTGTTGGGTGCTCGTGGTGGCAGCGGACTTTTGTGGTGGCAGGGATGGTGGCGGGGCAACATGGCTGACGGGGTTGATGACAATGGTGGTTGATGACGTAGGCGACATGGCCGACGGGCCTAGTGACGGCGTCAGTCCGACGACGACGACCGTGGCAGCGGCGATGGCGGCGGGCTGAGCGTGTGGCTGAGGTGGTGGCGGGGCAGCTGAGGGATGTGTGTGATGTGTGTGTTTTAGGTGTAGTGTGAGAGAGAGAGTATGGTTAGTGGGGTTGGTGGTGGGCCCATGTGTTTAATGAGTAATGTCTATTCTACCCTTAGTAAGTGGTCAAATGTATAAATTTGATCACTAAATGTACATTTATATACGTAATTGCCACACATGTTTGACTTTTATTTTTAAATTTTGACTTAATCATAACCATTAATATGTTGGATCCCATGGTACAGATTTATTCTTATTTCTTTCACTATCTATCATTCTCATATGATCCCAACTATATATATATATATTGTCAATTACTAAGATATATTGTCACAACAAAAATGACGTAGAAAATCCAATTGTGAAGTTGATTGCGATGTGGTACTATAGAGAAAGTGACCTCTGTTGCCACAGATTTGATGCTTCTCAACAAGAAATCGTACTGTGATCATGAAATGTGATGCTTCTCAACGATTCGATTGTAATCATGTTGCAACAAATTTGATGCTTCCCAACAAGAAAATTGATTGATATCATTTTTGGGTGGGGCTTCAAAACAAACATTAGAAGTACTATGGAAAATTACCACAAATGTCAAATTTAATGCTCTATTATGAATTTTAATGCTTCCCAACAAGAAAATTGATTGAGATCATTTTTGGGTGGGGCTTCAAAACAAACGTTAGAAGTACTATGGAAAATTACCACAAAATTGATTGAGATCATTTTTGGGTGGGGCTTCAAAACAAACGTTAGAAGTACTATGGAAAATTACCACAAATGTCAAATTTAATGCTCTATTATGAATTTTACGAAATTGTAAATTCCTCGTAATTTGGCATTTTTAGTTTTTAAGCAGTGCAAAACTAAGGGCATGCGTGAATTATTAATCTGCTCAAAACGAGTTTTTTTTATTAACCAGTGTTAATTTTGAAAAAATTAGTATGACTAATTAATAGTGGGATTTTGAGTTTATATTAAAATAATATATAAAATAAAATAAATAAAGTTGATTTAATGTAAAAGTAGGAAATATATGATGTGAAGTGATAGTTAGTTAAAATTTTGTGACTGGATATATAGTGAAATAAAACTGATGTGATGTGTAAGAATGATTATTTGATATTATTTAATTATATTGATAATTTGGTGATGATGAGGCTGAGTTATAAAATTAAATTAGATTTTGAGTATTAATCCAGTATGAATTAGAAATATTCATAAACAAACTCCCCTTCAATATTGTCATTTTCACCTAAGTAAATACT